GACAGCTAAACTCCGACCTGTTGTACATGTTCGTGGGTTCAGCGCGATACTCGGCCTGGCCTGGAAGCCTCCCGTATGCGAGGTTCACCCACGGCGATTCCTTCGAGGTCTCTCTCTGCCAGCGGACGATGGGTCTTTGACCAACGCCAAGCAGAGACAGAGCTGAATAGGGGAAAGAGGTCAGTCTTCAGTTGGCAAGGCAGCTCGTGTTGAACTTCCTCACAGTTCACTGTCAGCACACCTGGGCTCGACGTGTTGTCTGTTGACTTCGTCTTTGTAGCCGACATCATGATGAAACTTCCGGTTGCTGGCGCGTATCTGAAGGGTCGAGAATGGGATATGGGATAAACAATGGAATGGGCAGTTGACAATGAGGCATCAGTGGTGTCACCACTGCATAGCACATTTTAACCCATCCTCGAGTCGGTGATTCCTTTTATGATCTACCCTCAAAGACGAGGCCGCAGCTTGACGGCCTGAGGTCAAATTCCAGACATGTTGTTTATTTTGCTATCTCCTGTTGAGCCTCAAGCTGAGGGCAATTTACCCTCTCTTATCCGTTGAGGTCGATTGTTGCTATCAGGAGGGTGAGGCTCGGTGAATTTGTGAGGTCAATTTTTGGGAAATAGGTGAACGAAGTACAAGATGTTAGCGACTGCCCTAATCTTACCTAGCAGGCTTACTGCGAGATACTAGGCGGACGGAAGTGAAGGGGCCAATCAAAGAAGAACTGAGAAAATTGACCTCACTCCTGCTGCCCCACCTCACCAGGGTCGCCAGTACCTGCCCACATCCCGCCGTCTTTATATTTGGCATGCTGTCCAGTCGTTGCCCCACTTCAGTTTCCCCCCCAATCTTGTGACCCCAGACCTCAATTGGCTTTTCGGTGTCAGCCATACTCTGCAGGAGACTAGTGCCTCGATACCGTTTTTCTTCTTTTTGACAAGTAAGCCTTCTGCCTGGTGTGCCCTTGTCTTGCGACCTTAGCGAACTCACATTGACCACAGTCGCAGAACATCAGACCGAAGTCCCATTGCGGGGGTTTCAACACCCCGCACCCCTCCCCATTTCAAGTTCCAGTCGCGAAGACAATCTCACACCATGCCCACACACTGCCCAAGCTATCGAAGAAAGGGAGGAATCTCTTGGAGCAAATGGACTAGGAAACGAGCCCGGTGACAATTCCCAATTTACGTCTGGGTCGACAAGATGGGGTGATGACTTCCTTTTCGACTTCAGCAACGAGGCCCAAGTCTACGACTGGACGCTGATCCCTCCGGACGATTCCGGAAGAACGGGGACCTCCAGCTTGTACCGGAAATCCTATCCGGGGCAGTGCGGCGAAACTGCATTATCAACGACACCCTTCGCACAATCTTTAAACAACAGCTGGCCGCTAGTGTCATTAAGGACAGATGGTCGGGGTGCTGATCCTTTCTACGAACTTGAACCTGTCGAGAGGTCCGAATCAAGCGTCTTCCCCTTCTGGTTATTTTTTGACAACAACCTATTACAACACGACCTCTCATATACCAGCAACATTGCCGTGACATCACCAAGCAATACAGTGGGCCCCGGGGCTGCCGGAATCTCTGTTACCCCTCCGCTTGGATCTCTGTCTTTGAGCAGTGAATCAATGACCGACACATCACTGCCAGTGGATGGCGCTGACGATTCTCTCTACTCACGTGCGCTACCGTCTGAGTCAAGTTCACCATTTTCTACTTATACCTCTCTGATTTTGTCCTCGGGTATTACTTCTCTCACACCCAAATCTTTGACGCCTCGGAATCCCGAAGTAATCCACACAGTTGAAGACGCCGCAACCCCAAGACCGACACCGACATCTGAATCGTCTCTCTTCCAATGTCCTTTCAGGGCCTGCGGCTTTTCATGCTACCAAGAGGCCGAGCTCTCAGACCATCAAACGACAACGCACAAGTTTCGGTACCAGCTCGGCTGCTCCAATCTCAGTTTCACCTCCCTTCGGAGACAGAAAGGTCACCATGGCTCCAGTATTCACCGCACGCAGGATGCAACACCGCTTCGTTATCAATGTGGTGGGTGCGGCAAACGGACGGAGCGTAGAGACAATCATCTTCGTCATCTTGGGACGTGTACCAGGCAAGACTCGGCCGAATATGTCTGTGGGTGCGGTGCTTTTAGGAGCCTCGAAAAGAAGGGACACGAGGGGCACTTGAACTGTTGCAAGGGAAAGGCAGGAAGGCCTAGGAAGACCAGCTGAACAGCTTTGGAATTTCGAGGTTGGTTTAGTTGCCGTGTTTCAGTTCCGACGGTTAGAAAGGAAAAGTAGGTAGTCGGGTGGCTTTCGGGTTTGGATTATCTCTTGTCTGCTTTGTGTACAAACATTTCCTCGACCTTCATCACCGGACAGGACGGAGTTTGGTCCATCATAGCACGACGCCATCAGCCGCGCTCGCCTTCCGCTGCAATGCATGACGGCGTTACCCCTTTTACGAATGATTTACAGGTAGGAAGCCGATTGGATAGGCCTGATGGGGTACAAGCGCACCATTGAGGTGGCGGGCTGGCCTCTCTAAATCCCAAACACAGCGTCGGCTAAGTACCGCGTAAGTTTTCCCCGGGTTGGACATGCTTGGCTCATTTCCTTGTCCCTGCCTGACAGCGGGAATTGCCTAATTCGTACCTGACAGCTCAAGCCCACAACGTGTAGCGCGTTTGTGTAAGCCGACATCGAAAGCCGAGTCCAGATACCGAGTCGGCGCTCAGATGGGGTGCCTCCGAAGCTTTCCATGAAGCCGAAGACCATAAGTACGAGTGCGGCCCCGGAGGATTTCTCTATCACCGAGAGTGAGCTCCGCCGTCAGTAAGATCTCGTCGTCCAGCGTCAATCTCAAGATTTCTCGAAATGTTGTCCAATATCTTGGCTGGAGCCTTGCTCCTCCTCGGAGCTGCACAGCCGACTCTTGCCGCGAAGCCGTCTCCGGGCTGCGGCAAAGCCCCCAAGATCGTTACGGCGGCTGCTGCTTCTCCTCCGGGATTGAGCATCACTTCAGGGGGCGCGAGACGCCAGTACTTCGTCAAGCTCCCGGCGAACTACGACAACACGCACCCCTACCGCCTCATCTTCGCCATGCATCCCGTGGGCGGCAGCGGTCAACAGGTGTCTCAGGGTGCTGGTGGATATTATAACCTCCCAAATCTCATCAATGACACCATCGGTGCTATCTACGTTGCCCCTACTGGCACCCAAGGCGGTCTCGGTGTCGGCTGGTGGAACAACGGAGGCCAGGACATCACCCTCGTCAAGGACATCATCAAGGAGGTCGAGGATGATCTGTGCATCGACCAGAACTTGCGCTTCTCGACCGGCTTCAGCCACGGCGGCGCCATGTCCTTCATCCTGGCTTGTGCCCTGGGCAAGGAGCTTCGCGCTGTTGCGGTTCTCTCGGGCAGTCCCCAGATCAGCGGACAGTGCCCCGGCGGGACCGAGCCCGTGGCTTGGTATTCGCAGCATGGCACCCGCGATCAGGTCCTCAACATTGCTGGAGGTCGCCAGATGCGTGATAGGTTTCTCAAGAACAACGGCTGCGCGGCGAAGGAGGCCAGGGAGCCTGCGAGGGGAGAAGCACATATCAAGACTGTGTATGAGTGCAACAAGGATTACCCGACTACGTTTGTGGCTTTTGATGGGTAAGTTCCTCTGTGAAGAAGGGATAAGCGGAAATGCTGACTTATGTACACAGCGATCACACCCCCTCGCCCCGTGACCCTGGCGCCAGCAGCACTTTCTCGGACAAGTACACCTGGGAGTTCTTTAAGCAGTTCACCTAAAGGACAACAAGGACAACGCAAGTACATAGGGGGCGCAGTCAACTTTCGTTCTCGTACAAATTTGTATCCCCCTGAACCAAGCTCCCCAAACCTCAATCTTGATCAATGTATATAGCTCCCTTAAAAATCAACCCCGGGACTTCACCTGCCTTTCCACCTGTTACGTCTCTCTCTTGTATTACATGCTCCCCCAACCCGTCTCTGAAACCCACCCGCCAACCCGAACCAACAAACTCCGTCACCCTTCTATTTCCCCCCTATCCCTCTCAAGCTCAAGCCACCACCCGAGCTCCTTCTCCGCCTCCTCCCCGCTGCCATCCAGATATTTATTCGTATACCCTCTCCTCGCCAAAGGGGTGTCAATCACCACGTCGGCAATCTCTTCGTCCCTCTTTACGTTCGCGGCGTTTAGCTCAAGGGCGAATTGCTTTTCGTAGGGGTCGTTGTCGGACGTCGCGTCGGGGGCATAGTCGAGTTTGACGCGGAAGGCGGTTAGGCTGAAGAGGCGGGTTGCGGTGGGGTTGAGTTGGGCCTTGAGGTGGGTGGGGTTGAATGTGTGGAGGGTGGTTTTGGAGCGAAGGATTGGGGGGTTGGAGTCTTTATGGTTGTGAGTGTGGTTGGTTTGGGTTTGGGGAGGTGGGTTCGGAAGAGGAAGGGCATGGGGGGGATGAAGGAGACGAGCCAGAGGAGCATTTTAGTCGGAGAGAGAGGGGACTTGTAATTGGTGGTAACCGGTCTGGAGGGATGCAGTGTATTGCGTGTAAGTGTAGAGGTGTATGTGGAGAGTACACGTGTTAGTATGCGATCTTGAATCCTTACGGGAGGATTGAGGATTCTGGTTTTATAGGCTGTTGAGTCGATCGGGGCTTACTCGTGTCGGAAGGATTCCCGGCCATCCGTCATTGGGCTGTTGGTTGCTGACGGCGTAGCAGTGAGCGGTGGATCGGGGGAACGCTGAGCAGCGTAGACAAAGCCGAAGAGTGGGACGCCATCTGACACCATGTCTCGGGTATAGTCAATTCACCAGTCTTTGGCCAGAAAAGGATAAAACTCACCGAAAATAATGCGTTTCCTGCGAGGGAGAGGCAGAGTACCCCGGACAACATCGCTTGGCTCAGGTGCCAATGCCGACAGCTTCATGTGCACCTTTACCGAGCTCAACTTTCAATCAACACACATCCAAATCCCCCATGGCGCAATTGGCAGCGCGTCAGACTGTTATCTCTTCCAAGAGGCACATCTGGAGGCTGTAAGTTCGAACCTTACTGTGGAGATTGTATTCTTTTTGCATTCCAGACTCAGTGTCTGGGGAAGTGGAGTTTTACGGGGGAGCCAAGTCCAGTTGGATCCGCAAAGCTCTCCCGGTCAACAGTTTTGCACCCCCTTTTAACATAGCCATTGTTTGTTCTTCAGCTCTCGAGCTTTTCTGCTTTGTCAAGTAGTCGCTTGCCCTGAAGTTTCTGCCGCACGCGCTGCCATCGGAAGACACGGCTGGCTGTTACTGACTATTGTCCGATCAAAACTTGTACTAGTACTCGGTGTCGCTCAACCGTCTGCTTCACCCAGAAGGCCGATCGCAAGAGTTTCATGGTAGAGCAATCTACTTTCTTCCAATATGTATTCTATTCTCCAAGTTTGCTCAGCTCCGATCTAATTGGCTCTCCGCAGACAAAGGTTCATACGAGCAGTCGGAACGGAACTCGCCGTCGGGGCAATTCAGGCTGATTGCCGCACCTGACACCTCAGCTCCGCGATGTAGCCATCTATCACCGAACCCCGCGGTCCTACCAAGTTCCTTGAATTGATGTCTCAGCACTGACAATGGCAGGCCAATACACGGCGATCCCGCTGGACGAAGACAGCAGACCGGTGCGGCCATCCTTTATTCAGAGATGTGCAAAAGCCGCAATCATCGGCGCGGCCGCTACCGCCATCATCATCGGCCCTTTCATCTTCGGTTTTATCATCGGCCGCAGCCGGATGGTCAACCATGGCACATCATCGGGGTTTGTCCCAGAAGGTTCAAGGTTCCGTCATCTGAGGATAAACAGTACTGATCGTCCTAGTTCCCCTAAAGAACGTCATGTTCCAGTTTCCCACAAGATACGAGGACACGGGGCCCGTTGGTGACGGTTTGTGGGATAGCATGATGCCAGGTATGGGGTTGACTTCATGGCCAAGCAGTGAATCGGGCTGACGCTTCCGAGTTGGCGCTGGCTTCATTCGTGTTCCGCATCCTCGACAGTTCGGGCTGCCCCCGAGCCAGCCGATTGCAAATCACACGGAGGAAGCAGAACTATACTCGCTATCTGTCACCCACCAGCTTCATTGCCTCGCTGTTCTGCGAGACGTTATCATCAAGTACGAACGGAGGGACAGGTCGCGTTTCGCAGGGGATGGTCACGAGTACCATTGCTTGGATGTATGCCTCCCGGAAGGTCTTGCAATGAAGGGTGCAGCACTAACGATATGGAACAGTACATACGCCAAGCAATACTCTGCTCCGGGGACACCACCCTGGACTACGCCAATGACCGTGTGTTCGGCCAGGATGGGAAAGTGACCCGGTACGGGTTCACGGGGTCGAACTCAACGCACCAGTGCAGGGATTGGGATTTCATTCGGGACTTTGCCGGAAAGCACAAGTCAGGGGATACAACGGGCATCCTGTGAGGATTCTCTGATTCTGCGTGTTTTCCCTCCGGCCCTCAAAGATCCACGGGGGTGAAAACCCAGCGCTACTTGGGTCCTGAGGTGGACCACTCCGCCTGGGCTTGCTGATCCGCTCTCTGGCGTCCACGGGTGCGCCGGCTGACAGGAACCGACCCCACCAAAAAAAAAACCCCTCTTTCTCTCACCCATATTTGATAGCAATTCGACGTATGGAACTTGAAAAATGGGGTTTTAGGTTCACGGTGACTCATTTTTAAGGTTTGCGCAAAAACCCTAGGGTCGAAGCGTAGGTAGGGCCTCTCAAGTTTGAGTTTTACGGCATTTTAAATCAAAAGGCTCTGGCATCGTTTTCGCCTAACCCCTTCAAACCCTTCAACATTTATGCAAGCTCATTTATTCACTCCCCATAAAACACCCACTCAACCAAGAACACAATGCAGCAGGCCATCAAGACCACTTTTCTCCTTCTTTCCGATACCCACGCCAAAAATGGCCTAGCCGTTCCAAACCTCCCAGTCGACGTGGCGATCCATTGCGGCGACCTAACCGACGGGTCCAAGATTCACGAGTTCGAGACCACGATCGCTCTGCTTCGTAGCATTGACGCGCCGCTGAAAATCGTTATCGCCGGAAACCATGACTTTACGCTCGATGAGCCGGTATACCAGGAGAAAGCCGATACTGCTCGAAGGTTATTCTCGATTACACCGGAACTCATGAGGAAGGAATACGGCAATCCCGGTGACGCACACCGGCTCATTAGCCAAGAGTCCGAAGGTATCCACTTTCTTGACGAAGGGACGCATTATTTTCACCTTGGTAACGGTGCGGACCTAACTGTTTATACAAGCCCCTTTACCTCGTCCATTGAAGCCGACTGGGGGTTTCAGTACAAGCGAGGGGATAATCACGACTTTGCGATACATAGCAAGGCTGATGTAGTTATTACACACGGTCCGCCCAAGGGAGTTCTAGACCTAACAAATTCCAGGCAGCGCGGAGGTTGTGAGCAGCTCTTCGCGGCCGTCGCTAGAGCTCGGCCACTTCTGCACTGCTTTGGGCATATCCATGAAGGATGGGGCGGGAAGTTGGTAGCATGGCGAGGGACGGAACCGAGCGAAAACCCCTCCCACTTCACCGATATAGATAACGGTGCGTCTTCCGTCATTGAGACGCTCGCAACAATCGAGCCCCGTCAGAGCGATAGTACCGAAAGGAAGCTGGAGAAGGAATGCCGGCTCCGAAGCCTTACGGAAGAGGGATATCGAAGGACGAGTCACTGCAGTCAAGACGAGTCTCCCGTTAGACAAGGGCAGACTACGCTGTTTGTCAACGCGGCTATTCAATCTGGAGACGAAGATGGCAGGCCCCAGCTGCCGTGGGTTGTTGACATTGAGCTCCCGAGGAGCAATGACGCCGGACTCGAGACCTCGGGTGCCTTATCTCGAACTGCAGCCTGAGAATATTCGGCGCTGCATGCACTTTCTGAGCGATGGATACGTTCTTGTAGATAAACGCCACTCATGATTACAGTACAATTACTAAAGTAAAGTTGTCTAGTTATAGCAACATGGAATTTGCGAATCTGTTGGTCGAGTTGTGGCTGCTTTCGGTGACGTCCAGCAGAGCAATCTTCGAACATTGCGCATCGGTGGCCTTGGTCCTGGTATGCCGTACCATAAAGGCCATTTTATATCAGGGCGCATAGATGTGGGCGAAAGAAGAATCTTCTATATTGCGTTGCGTGAGTCGGCTGCCTCTGTACACCTCGAGGCCCCAGGATCACGGAACCGGGGATATAGCGCTACAGAGTTAATGAACCGTAGGGACAGCCATCTTCCCATTTCTGTAATCCCTGCAGTGCCACAGTAGATACCTTTTAAGGATCTGAACAAGACGTTGCTCGGCCATCATGTGGCAGCAACAACGCGGCAGTTGAGACAATAGCGACAGGTGCTTATGATGTACATGAGGCAAGGGCGATGGCTGGCGGAGATGGCTGAACGCCTGCCATATGGGAACTTGAAGGAGTTACCTTCCTGACCACTTGATGAGGCAGGTGGGAACGTCCGGTCATTGCCCACTCCGATGTTGGCAACAGAGCTGGAGCAGGAGTGATGGCGTTAATCAGCGAGAACACAAGGGGAATTCTCGTCGCCTTTCCCGATTTTTTCCCTAACCAACCCAAAACACTTCTTTGGTAAGTCGTCATTACAGCCACTCGCCAATTTTGTTGTCACTAACATTGATGTTAGATGTATGATTGATGTGCCTGCATCTCTGTTCGTGTTTCACCTTTGTCGTTGAAAGTTGGCACTTCGAATCGCTAACCGATCTCTAGACAGCTACCAAACATTACGGCCCAACTTCGCCCAGACAGCCCCAGCTCTGCAGCCAAGCAACCGGCCATCCCAAAGTACTCATCGTCAAGTACGCGATTCCTCTCCGAGAAGCGCACGGGCTGCTGATACCAGATGGCTTTGCAGATCGCTCAATACCCTCTTGTCTCGAACTCCCGCAACATGCCGAAGCCCAATACCATCATTCCCGCACCACAGCGTGAGGCACTCCTAGAGTGCTTCCGCTCGATCACCCGCCTAGTCCGGACGGAACTCCGCCGCCAGCTAGTACTAGTTGGCGGTGCTGCCAGCATTGCCCACTCCTCGGTCCTCAAGACCGAGGACGTGGATGTTGCGGCGCCTCCTAGCGCGCTAATCGACATCTGGGAGGGAGCCTCGACCGGCGCTCTCAACTTTTCCATCGAATCCGACGGCAAGATCGCGTTCGACGCGCCGCAAGGTTTCCGCGTCCGAGTTAACATCATCGAGCTCGGGAGCGGTTGCATCGAACGGATCCACGTGGCAGAGCCATTTCACAATGGTTCTGTCGCGTCCATGTCGGATTTGTTGTTGTTGAGAGCCGTGACGGTGGTCGATCGTGGGGGGGGTGGTGATATTTCGGACTTTAAATGGCTGTTAGCAGGGGTGGCAAGAAGGGGTCAATTCCCAGCGATTGACGATGAGGAATTGGGATGGCTGGTCAGGGCTGGGACGCCTGCTTGGGGGAGTTAGGCCGGTTAGTTATTTCCGGTATCCTTGGAGAGCACAATGAAGCCGCCGCTATGGGGCTTCTTGGATTTTAAAAAATACTTGATAATAACATTTATGGTGCGGCTTGAACTGACGTGACCTTTGCACTGTCAGAAGCACGGCACTTTTGATCTAGGTTGTGTGTGTGTGTGTAAAAAATGTATTCTTGTGTCTGCTTGTTCTGTGTTTTCTGGCAGAGCCAGAAACCCTTCTTTTATAGACCTCTTTGCATAATCCAACAGTCGTCCATCTGACGAAGCCTTCGTAGCTTAGTGGTTGGATCGTGGGCTATGCCAGGCATCCTCACACTAGCTGACTAGACTCCCTGGGTTCGACCCAGGAGTCGACCCCTTTCTTTTGACAGAGATATCTTCGCTGACGACCGCGCATGCGGTTACATAGCAGTCGCCCGATATCACATTGTAGGAGAACAGGTTGTAGCTTACGCAGCTGCTATAGACGGCAGCGCAGTTAGTGAAAGAATCGGCATAGCCGTCGAAATAGTTGGTAAAG